CCCCAAAACCCCAAAACCCCAAAACCCCAAAACCCCGAGGTTCAATATTTATAGAACTTTAATGATTAAAATATTTCTGATAAATTCTCTTAATTGAAAATATTCTACTTTAATGATTTAAGCATAATATCTTAGGAAATAACTATTTATCAGTCTTTTCTCATTCTATTAGCTTTTTGTAATTCTATTCGTTAATACTAGTCTCTTTTACCTGAGTGAGATCTTTATCAAATTGAAAAAGATGGAGGGATTCTCTGCCTACTAAAATCCAATTTGTACTATGATGTTTTTAATCCTAAGAAAGCCATTAATTGAAATAGAGTCTATCAGGGGATTTCAGCTTTTAATTCAGCTGTATGCATTAAGCTGAAAATTAACTTTATGAATCTTAATCATGAGGCTAATTCTCTACTTCATCGATTGTAACTTCAAGCTTATAGATATCATCGAATAGTATTCCATTTAGACCTCCACAAATCAAAAGCTAATGAATATTAGGCTTTTCTGGATTGATATAGGGAAGGGCTCCTATTTGGCAACCATCAGGTATCACATTGTTTTGAATTTTAATAGTTTGCCATGCTGGAATTTATTAGTTTAAGTCCAATCTTATCAAATCTGATATCTTAGATTGATCATAGCGATAATTAAAGCCTCCAATAACATAAATGAATCTATCTTAGAATACCACTGCTGTTGGGCTGATTCTTATATCAGGAAGAGGAGTAAAATGCTACCATTCATCTTTTGTAATATCATAAGATTCAATAGAATTTATAGGGGTGTGTTAAATAACATTACTGCCAGCGATTGCAAATATTCTATTTCTTAGATGGGCAATAGCAAATCCACTTCTTGGTATTTATATATTTGATAATCTCTTCATCAAATTAGTTCTGATGTCATATCTATAGCAGAATTTGGAAGGCTTCTAATCCTATAGCATCCCTGAGATAAAATACACTTCATAGTTGTTTACTTATACTACTTTCTACCAATAACTCTAGATTACATCCGTAAAATTCTCTTTCTGAAAATTTACATTCTCCCATTCCTTTTTGCTTGGGGTTATCCTGTATAGTTTATCATTTTTAAAAAGTACAAATCCACTAATAATGGGGGCTCCATTCCTCTTAGCTTCTTTTATTATTCTTGTTGAAAAATCTTTGTAAATTCTTCTGCTTAAACCCTAAATTTAAATTATTTGTGGTTCACTCAGATAGCTGAAGATGCTAAGTATGCAATAAGAGTCTTTGATCTATTAAGTAGATTAACTTTGATATTTATTCATATTTTAACAAAAAAATTATAATTTAAAATCTAAACTGGGGAATTTGAATTAATAAACTCATAAAGTGATATTTTACTATCGTGGGGTTTTGGGGTTTTGGGGTTTTGGGG